TTCTGCATGATTTATGATCATGGCACGTGACACGCTCTGGCGATCAGTTTAAGTGTTTTCATTAGACGTATAAATTATGCAACGGGCTATAATTAAAAGTCATAATCCGAAGCAGGAATAAGGTTAAGCTTCTACTGTATATGAGGACTAGTGAAGGTTATGCTCCATGTATTTTTTTTTTATTCCTATTTTGTTTCAACATTAAAAGCAGCCCTTCATATTTTACTGAGACAAACTGCTTTCAGACACACAAAAGAGCAGCTAATTAGAGGCTGGGGGGAATCTTGATGCTCTTTTGTTCATAAAAATAAAAGAACAGAGGGCTTTTAGAAAGACGCATATTACCGACAAGACAAAAAAACCTCTCGTGGTTGAAAACCTCTTCAGGTGTTTGTTGTCACTTTGGTGAAATGAATTAGATGAAGTGTGTTTGTGTTCTTCAGTGTCTGCTCGCCAGCAGGTAGCAGCGTACGCGGCTACGTAAGGCTCTGCAGGGTCGCTGGAGGCCATATGTAGTATATATGTAGTAGATCCCCTCTCTCTCTGAGGTGAAGCGAGTTCACGCAGGGTCACGAGGGTCATTGTTCATTAGTTCACATAGAACACGGGGGTCACAAACCCCACAGTTCATCAGTGCAGCCATTTCATATCCTACCGAGCCTCATTCCTCTACACCTGACCACCTCTCCTCATTCCTCCACCCCGAGCCTCCTCCTCCTCCTCCTCCATCCTCATCCTGTCACCGCTTTGCCCGGCCGTAGACCCCTGAAATATTAATGGTATTATAATTGAACTGTCATGCTTTCTGAAGTGCAGTAAAATTGAACCAAATCTCAATTAGACAAGCATATTATCTTATATTGCTCCCACTTCCTAATCTCATTTGGCGTCGTGTTTCTGTTTTTTTTTGTCCCACCACTAATGTTTCAATAATGGATGGATTGCACAGCCAAGCTTTTAGAAGAATACTGATAATGTTTATCATTGCCAAAGGTTAGATTATGATCTGCTTCAAATTCAGAGGAGCAAAATCCCCAACACACGGTGGAAGTTTTACCGTTTATACAAGCTTAGTTTAACGCTGAGATCTAAACAGCGTGTGAGATTTGCAAGCCAAATGAGCTACTCAGTGGACAAAAAGAACAAAACGACGGCTAGAAGAAGAAGAAAAAAAAAAACTAAACTGTGCACTCATTACACACATCAGAAGCAACGCGAGTCAATTGCCGCTTAGTGTTAATCAGCTCGGCCGTTGTTTTAATTGTTCTTGAATGATCAAATGGGAATCAGTGTGGAGGCATTATCAGGAGCGTAAGAGGGGAGTTCGCCGCCGCCGTCTTCCCGTCGCAGGTCTTTAGCGAAGAGAATATTTTAATCCAGCCTGACAAGACGAGGATCTGCTTAATCCTATTACAGGCGTGCACATTAAACTACAGTAGGCCCACACTTCTCTGCCTGTTGTCTTTGTGTGAGAAAGGAGCAGATGGTGCCAACTCAACAGCCTACTGTAGTGAACTTTGAATGGCTGAGCTCGGACCCACCCCGTTACCAAACAACATATTCACAAGCGTGGAGAATGCTCGAGGAAACAGCTCGCTGCTGTGGTATTTTTTCCTTGAAACATTTGTACGCGTCTGCGCAGTGTGTGATGGTGTGTTTTTAAATGCTCTATACTGCGTTTGTACATTTGTTTGTGGGTCAAAGTAGAGGTGTGAAGCTAGTCCAGATGGCCAAACTATAGGAGTCAAGCAACAGACAGAAGCTTGCCAGTCGCACCGTGGAGGTGTGCCAGAAGAGTTTCTTTAAGTAAAGTCATTAAAGCTGCACTGTGATAAAGTGTACAACACCGTAGTGTGGAGAAAGACTCTTAGAATTAACGCGCTAACAAGAGAATTAAGGTGCAGCAGCAGCACTTTAGTGGTGTAAACACTGGTTGCCATGGAGAATTTTCTCAATAGGAAAGTTGTACCGTAGATGGCAACAATCATATCACAGAAACCCACTTGTCTCAGTAAGCGCGGCGAGGTTGGTTTAGTCAGACGAACACATTCTGTTGCTTAAAGAAGAGACAAACACTCCCCCTGAGGAAACTTTTTCTCTTGTTAATCTGACAGTTTAACAGTTAGCCTTAAAGTAAAGAGCTGTCGTGGATAAAAGAGGTAACCAGATGTTGGTGGTGTAGCTAAAGTAAGCACCGGCAGACACCGGATATTAGATGATCTGTGGGTTTTGGACAGTTGGTCAGGCAAAACAAGGAATTTGAAAACTTTATCTTGGGCATTGTCGTGGGCATTTCCTTCATTTTTGTTGATATATTGCACAGTAAATGATTTGTCAGGAAGATATTTGTCAGATGAATTGATATTGAACACAATCTTTAGTTGCATCCATTATCGGCACCATTTCTTTGCTGTTAAAATAGCAAAAGCAGGTGCAAAGTTGGGCAAACAAACTAATAAAAATAAGGATCTTGTCTTGTCTTAATGAAGAAAAATGATATATTGCACTGGAGCAGCTTTGAACCCACATTATACTTCATGACAAGATTTGGGAAAGTCAGGAATTTGTCAACCAACTGGGTATTTTTTATATTATTTTCTTAGTGTGACAGGGGCATTAGTGATTATTAGAAAGATTAGCCTACAGTGCCTTGGTGTCAAATTGGTCTACACTGGAAAGTAGTTTGGTCTTGTTGACAAAGAACAAAAGTTTGTCAGGCAGCCCTCTACATCAGACACATGCAGAGTTCTGTAAAGTACAGAAGCAGATTTCACTTGGCCCACATTGCTTCATTTCCCTCCATGTGCTCCGTCCGCCGCACAGCTTCTGTCCCCTCTGAGCTTTGGCTAAGTAAGGTTAGGGTTCAGACCGGCCTTCCCACAGTGAGCAGCTTTTAACCTCCTGCCAGCTTCATCAATCTCAGGCTGGTGTGATCGCTCCTGAAAGGGGTGGGGATTAAGAACAGCCCGCGGCCTGTAAATCAGGCAGGCCTGAGGGTAGGGCCCCCCCCTCTCCCGTGCATCATATAGGGCCAATAGGCACCATACCCTGCGAGTTCAATGTAGACATCATCACTCCCAGCAGTTAAGCTCTGAGTGGACCTCCCTCAGCCAGATGGCCCGAGTTGGTTCTCAATAAATGTTTAACGAGGGGAGAACAAATTAAATCAGAAGGCACAGTTTGAACAGTGTAATCCATCTAAGGTGGTTTTAGGTTGGTAAAGGATTTTGGCCGGCACAATAAGACAATGAGAACGCATTCCCTTCTGGGCGTTGTAACCCCTCCCTCCCCTCTTAACCAGGCCAATCTTACCAACAAAGCACAAGCCAATTAGCGCAAAAGCCTTTACCTTTTGATTTTAATCTGAGTTTAGCAACATAAATCACCATGTCTGGGAAAGAATAAAACAAAGGAAAGCCTCCAGCACTTCTCTCGTTCACTTATAACTCAGACACACAAATCTGCAGACGGTATGAAAGTCAATCGCGCTGAATTGTGATTGAGTGAGGTGGATGTATGTCGTGCGCAGCTCACTTAACGTCTCCAACCTGATGCTGTAGGTGGGTGGGCCGGAGGTCACGAGTAGGTTCAGAAAGGCCAGTATTCAGTCACAGACAGAGTTAATACCATTACTTCTCAACCATTGAGGCTCGGTTGAAAAGTTCAGAGTGCACGTTCATCTGAGAACAAGCCCGCATCGAATGAATGAAATCGACTCCTTTGTTCTGCGGTCAATTATTCAATTACATCTCCTGAACAGGCGTTTGACCTCGGAGTCGCCTATTGAATTTGTTAAGAGTCAGTTGCGAGCACCATTGTGGAGCTCATGCTCTCAACAGACGTTGCACAGCTGGTTAAGCGTGCGCTACTTACTGTACTGCTCATATCTTGATTAAGTCTGCTTCACAACACACACTTCTTTGACATTAATTAGTCCGTTTGTACTACTGGACGTTATCCTCGCGATGCTGCTTGCGTGTTGGACCGTTTTTGTTTTACATGAAAGCCACTAAGACTCCCTGTAGAACCGTACGATTTCACATCTCTCCGCAACTTCAATTGTTTGCTATAATCTCTCTGTTTTGATTGTTATGGGCTATGTTAGCTGTGGAGCTAATTACTCCGGCATGACCTGCTGAGCTGGGTCACAGCCAACACGAGGAAGACTAATGAACTGACACCCCAGAGGGTTTACAGAGCACTGCTGTAAGACATAAGAATTCCCATACACATTCCCGTACGCTCGTTTCCATCCTGCTCTGGCTCTGCACTCTGACTCTGGACCGATCATGTGCTCGTTATGGTCCAGACTCTGGTCTGTTTGCTGGACAATGATCCAGTGCTCTGTACTCTGCAGTCTGTCAGTATGTGAGCTTACAGCTTACTCCGTCTGACTGTTAACTATGTATGCTTTTTTTTATGTCTCTTGCCCCTCAGGCAGCAACATTTGCTGCAGTAATAGATAAAATTGCGGCTGCGTTTATAATCTCTTTGAGTCATTGTTATCAGAAACATGCAGGCACAGATCAAAACTCCACAGCGATTAAATCGGCCCAACTTTGATGGTAATTTTGATGTTGATTTCAATCTTGGCTCGGTTTTTCAGAAGAAATGCCTCTTTCCTTCAGTAATGTTGAACATCTGCCATGCATTAATAAATCCACAGGCCCCCCTCATTTGCTTATTTATTTATTTCCATTGTCGCATGGAAAACACACTTTCTGCCGCACAGTTCCACAGACTACAAAACAATCTGAGTCCCAGGGGAAGGGGGATGATAAGAGACTTTAATGTGAATATTTCTTTGTCGCAGCAAAATTTGAACTAGTGCACACTCCCTGTTGATGCAAATGAAAATGTGCGGTGCGCCTGGTTATGCCTGGCTGAGCAGGGAGCAGTGGGGCTCCCCGCTCACGAGGGATTTGTTGTGTTTGGGGGTTTGCCTTTCTGTCTGGATTCATGGGCTTTTTTTTTTTTTTTTGTCTGTGCTGCTCTCACAGGTACCGCATCTTCGGCGCACCAGAGAAATGAACTGAGGACGTGAAGGGGAGCACTCTTTTGTTGAGAACAACTAAGATCTTACACTGAAACCATGAGGTTGCAGAGGAGCCCAGGACTGGCCGCCGCGCTGGTTGTGGTCACCTGTATTTGTGCCTTTCGTGCGACTACGGCCATGGACATCCCGTTAGAAGGTGGGGCCTGATTGCACTACAGCACAACACCAATTCACACATTTTGAGTAAGAATGCAGGGTGGTCCCCTGTTGTGGCAGCGACTGTTATTGTTGAAGAGGCAGGTAATATAATTTTGCGGATTACCTACATAAACAGCTTTGACGTGGATTTTAATGCGGCGAGCACCACAAACAACATTATGTTCACCGCTGTATAGTGGAGGCTTAAATCTGTATATCTCAAAATCTGGATAAAACCCAAACTCCCCCAAATAAATGGTGACAAATTATTGAAAACCCTTTTTTCCTATGGTTTTAGTGAACCAACCCTTTAATCTATACAGTCAAACACTGTCAGCTTACTCAACTAATACATTTAACTTCCCCTGTAGCCTCACTACAGTATGAAAAATGTAATATTATAGTTTTAAAATAATAGTGTCACATGTCGATGTGAAACAATGCAACAATGAGAAAAGTAGTGACGAGTTTACAAAGAGCCATCAGCTCAATCTGCAGCTCCACTGGCCCTTAGGGAGCTTTATAGTGAGCTCATTGTTTCCCTATTTAGCCACAACTTTGCTGTTTTTTTTATCCTTCGCTGCTCTTACAGAGTGTAACTGAACGTACACTGTTTGCTCAGGATCAACAGAGTCCAAGGTTTAAGAGATAAGAGAGTGTATTTTGTATTTTACATGCGTCAGAATACCAGAAAGACAAGTAAATAAGCTACAAGGTGGAAATCAGTGCACAATATCAACTTGTTTCTGCTGCTCCATCTGGCTTATAAGACAGCTATAGCAGGTTTAGATTGCTAACATGGTTTAAAATGCACACAGACAGAAAATGCACACTGAAAAGGTTTCTTAAAGTGTCTTTAAATAAAAAAAAAACATTATAAAGACATTTTAATCAACTTGATATCAGTAAAATGGATGTATTTGCATTGACGTCCCTCTACGGTCGTTGGTTTAGCTCCTAAAAACTCACCTCTGTGCTACATGTTCAGATGCTTTTTCCATGAAAATAATCCCTTCATGCCTTAAATTGGCTTGGCTGCATCTCCAATTCACCAGCTCACCTACAACTCTGCTAAAATATTGCAAAACCCCTCCGGCAAGTTGTAACGTGGCAATAATTCAGCCACACACGTTCAAGCCGAAAACCGATTCTGAAGAATGATCCGGAGCCCGACCCCACAAGCTGACAGGACTGGATCCTTAAATTTGTAACATATGAAACCCCTTAAAGGCTAAACCCATGTTTTCGAGACTGTTATCGGTACACTCCAATTTCAACACTTCCATCGATGGTGTTGACTGCTAATTCCACTCATAATGTGCCGTTCAGCGTATAAACAACACCATACGGACATTTTAATAAAAGTTGACACTTGATTGTCACTGGAGGCTGTCTTAAAGTTAATGATGACAGCTTTGCTCATTCTGCTAAATTGCAATGCCACGGATGGCAATTTAGCACAAGTTAGCTTTTGATATGATACACTGACACCTAATTGTACTTCTAAACGCACATTATTATGAAGCAAGGAAAGGTTAAATATGAAAAGGACCATTTGTTGTCTACACTCATCCGCTGAGAACTCGTCCTTGAAGTGCTTTTATCAGGAAAAAAAAAAAAAACCCAGCGTTGAATAATTTACAGGCAAATAACACCTTAGAGAACTGTTACAATCGTCAAGCATTCTGCGAATTGAATATATTTACAGCTATTATCTTGTTTGAATCAGGTTTTTGTGCCTCTTTTTGTCGGTGGATCTGCGTGTATCCCAGTTTCCTTGGAAACGCATATCAAACCTCTCCCTCTAAATTATTCAGAAATATCTCTTAAGGGCTTGATAAAGAACAGTTCAAACAGGTTTTCTGAAAAGGCAAACGCATTTCTAGGCTCACTGTCAGAAAATCTTTTTATTTAGGTCTTCTGTTTAGCATTAGCCGCGCGTGTGTGTTTAAAAAGGGGGTTGTGTGTAGAGAATACTTGTGACAGGATTATTCCCAAACTGCTGACTGTTTTTGTTTTGTTTATTTTCCCCCTGCTGCCATGGATTATATAGTTTTAGGTCACGTAAACAGTAAGTTCACGTTGCCGTGCCGTAGCTGGTATTAGTGACTGACTCGCTGTCGAGCTTAGCATCCACGTTACATAGATAAACGTGCTGGATCTGGATCTCATGTGTCATCAGTTGTGACTCCATAACACGAGTGTTCTGGCATCCTCTTTGCCTTTACACCTAATCATTACTATTAGTGCTCTGTTGTACATTTTCCATCCTCACCACGGGTTCACAACTTTGTCATCAAAACCATATGAGGCTAAGTTTAATGCCAGAATAAAATCGAACTAACAAAATCCCCTTCATTCACAAACTATCACCTGTATAGATGTAATTGTACAGATGTGAGTGAAGTTGTTGTCATTGTTTTAATGTCTGCAGATAGATGTGTACAGTAACAGTGGTTCCCAACCTGGGGGTCGAGACCCCTCAAATTGTGCGAAGTTGAATCTAAGTGGTCGCAATGTTTTTTTCTGATAACGTACGAGACGCTGGTACAGTTTGAGATTTCCTTAATCTTTTCAGTAAATGCCAAAAGTATGTTTGCAATCATTTAAATAGACTCGCCAGTGTCTGTGTAGAGTCAAAAGCAACTTGACTTCTCTTTTAATTTCTCGAAGCTATTTCCCCTCTCATCCAAGAGGCTTGCTCAGTTCCTCTGAGAGCCATCATTGCAAAGTTTTCAGTATAGGTCGTTTTGCATTAAAACCCTTAAACTTAATAAGTCTGAGGAGTACAAATGGCTTTAAAGTGCCCCACTCTACGGCCATAAAAGCTGTAATGAGGCTTGGTCACGAGCCAAAAAAAGGTTGGAAGCCACAGCTGTAGTATCATGCCGGATATGACACACTTCTGACTGGCTTTCTGTATCCAGGCCAGTGTTGCACATCACATTTTCATGCTTTTCTTGTTTGTTTGTCGCCCAGTTGAGCAGCTGCCCACCATCACGGCTCAGTCGCCCAGCTCTCTCATTGCCTTCCCCTTTGATGAGAGCTTCCCCATGACGTGTGAAGCCAAAGGAAATCCCGAGCCAGAGTGAGTACTGATCCTTGCATCACTTCAGATGAGAGGAGCAGAGGCTTGGAGAGCTTGTTTCGCAGCCAAACAGACATCATTAATAAACAGCAACAACACTTTACTATCAACATGTTGCATTTGGGCGCTTTGATTTGGGACTTTGAAAAATGAGCAGGCTGCTGCAGCTCAGCCGAGGCACTTTGACATTTCAATACTGGCTCTCTTTATGTAGATTCAGATGGACGAAGAATGGCCAGGAATTCGACCCCGCTCTAGACCCCCGCCTGATGAAAGAAGAGAATTCTGGGACCTTTGTGATACCTAATAATGGGAACCTTACAGAGTACCAGGGAGCCTATCGCTGTTTCGCCTCAAACAAACTGGGGACCGCCATATCGAAGGAGATTGAGTTCATTGTGCCCAGTGAGTTACCTGCATCTGTGAGTTGTGAGCGCATATGTGTGTGTGGGGTGCTGTGTTACAGTGCTTTCAAAGTGATTCAGGACCTGCAACCCGGCGTAATGACCGAACCTCTCCATTGTGAGCTTTTCATTGTATTGGACGTGGCAGAAAGTCATTGAGGCTCCCGAGAGCTCCACCCCTCGCAGCATCTCATCTATAACTCTGCGGTAGAAAAAGCGTAGAATGCGATCAAACCTGTCCATCATTTCCTTTGCTACATTTTTCATTTTGTTCCCAAGCACAGTTACATAAATTCTCAAAGAAAATGTACTCCATAGGGGACTGACTGAGTTTGGCTGGGCTTCAGCTGCCCAGCAGTCGTGACAGGGCCGTGCACAATAGTAGTGGTGATGTCTGGTTTGTTTCTGCAGGCCAAGAAGTGGAAAAAAAAAAAAAAAACACTTCAGAAATCAATCTACTGAATGCTCAGAAAACACACGCTCCACATAGAATAATATTACTGCCATCTTCTGGAGGAGAGACGAACTGCAACTTGTTTTATTCATGCATGTCTCACATCATTTACTTACTGTAGATTTTATTTTATTTTTTACTAGATGTTCCAAAATTCCCTAAAGAGACACTTGATCCTGTCGTCGTGGAGGAGGGTCAGCCTTTTACTTTAAAATGCGACCCACCTCAAGGTATACCTCCTCTGCAGATCTACTGGATGACTATCAGTAAGTAATAACACATGTTTGTGATGAATTGAAAATGATTTGTGTTCAATTTATTCTCAGTCATGGCATGCTGTGTTTAGAATCACTGTTAATAAAGTTTCAGTTATAATTAGGTTATGGTCTTGTAATAAGCTTTTTAAAAGAATTTCTGTCTCACCTCCTGAACTGATGAACCCCTCAAACGCCACTGATATGAAGTGTGGGTTTTGAATATTTAATTTTCATGTATGGATTCACTGAAGAGCTAAAATGAGCCACTACATGATTATTATTGTTTTTACCATCTTTGTCAAAGACTGCTGACAAAACTTAGACACAAAGACGATTCGTTTTGCCAGCAACACATCTATGAAAATATATGAAAATGACTTTCACTTGTACACATAGAAAGAATAAACAAGTTGTGTCGTCATTTGTGGAGTAAAACTGGACTGCAAGCAAAATCAACTTGTTACTTAACATTAACTTAGTTTAGCATAGGATACGTTAACAACGGACACCCCAACAGCCTTTAGAGACAGTTTTTTTGTTGTTTTTTTGTTTTTTGTTTGGGTTCTAACGGTACTAAACTCATTTTACTTACAGTTTGAGAGTTTATACCAGTGATTCCCAGCCTTTTACGATAAAGCTGAGCTCATTAATGATGTACACTGCTTCGCAAGATTGTACATCTGTTTAGACTTTTCTCTAATCTTTGCTTCATTTTTGCGAAACATTGGATAATTCAACGCCTTCATGCCTCAGTGTTTCAACCTACATGAGAAGTTTAGAAGGGAAATCAGTGTAGCTGCTAACAATTCATGGACTCGTGAATCATATTATAAGGAGCCACTGCCATCGCCACAAAGTTTAGGAAACACATTGCATTATTATTATTATTACTGAAAATTAAACAGCAGCTATAGCTATAAAACAGACTAAATTGTCCTTGAGTAAATGTTCTTCGCTAAGCTTCCACTGCTGCTTAACAGAGGAAAACTGAACCGTGCGGTGCTCGGCCAGGAGCTGTTCAAACAGAGGTTGTTTATTTCCCTCACCACCGTCTTCCTGTGCTCAGATCTCCAGCACATCGAACAGGACGACAGGGTGTCCATGGGCTTGAATGGAGACCTTTACTTCTCTCACGCGGTGGAGAAGGACAGCAGGCGAGACTACTGCTGCTTCGCCTCCTTCCCCAGAATACGAACCATTGTTCAGAAGAACGCCATGTCTGTCATAGTCAAGACAAGTAGGTGTTGCTTCAGCTTCCTTTGCCTTCACCTGCGCTCCGTTCGCCGCTCAAACCAGCGTGATGCAAACTTTGATTTGCTGATCATTTCCAGCACGTTCACGGATCTCCACGTTCACAGCAGCACTTCAAAAGCCATCCCAGTGTCATGCTGTCTCGTTTATGTGCACCTTCTTGTTTTTATGTTGTGATTTTGATCTTGGTGATGTTTGTCATGATGCATCCACATTGTCCTCATGTTCAATGTCTTTTTTTTTGGTTTCATCCATCTCCATTTCAGGAAAAAGTGACAGTCCTGAGGGTGGTAAGTTTCCAGATTTTACGGTGCAGTTCTGTGCTATGTGTTAACACCTGTGTGCACAAGGCAGGTGTGTGATTATACACCACTGATTTCTACTCCTCTGTCTAATTCTCTAATGTGCTTTCTCAGCTAATGCAATTCTGGAGAGAAGACCCTCTCTTCTGACGCCCTCTGGTGGCAAATCAGAGAAACAGCTGGTCAAAGGAGAGGATTTGAAACTGGAGTGCATCGCTGAAGGATAGTGAGTAACGCCTCCTTATTTATCCTCCTTCTCTTACAGAACTACAAATACACAATTAACTGCCTTGATTTGACATCTGATTGTAGAATAAGCCATTTGCTTTTATTATATTTTAAAACAAATGTCATTGTCAGTTTTATTCATGTGTAAGCAGTCTGACTATTTCGGACACTCATTATTTCTCCTGCACCCGTCAGTCCAACTCCACAGGTCGAGTGGGTGAAGATAGGCCATCAGCTTCCCGTGAAAGCAAAACTGGAGAGTCACGGGAAATTATTGATCGTGCCAAGAGTAGAACAGGAAGACAGCGGGAAGTACATGTGCAAGGCCAGAAACCCACTCGGAGAAGTTGTCCATTACTTCACAGTAACAGTCGAAGGTAACAACAACAACGTTCTGGTGTGAAACAGCTTTAAATGGCTTCCTTACGAGTATAAGTTCTGCTTTTAGAAATGTGCTTAGGAAAGTGTACATGAGTGTTTTTATTATTATGGCATTATACCATTATTATACAGTTAAGTGTATTGCATTAGTTTATAGTTAGTTCTAAGAATGTTATATATTGTTGGGTCTAGTGGTTCCCAAGCCAAGGATTACTGATCTTCCAAATGAAGATGAACAAGGCAGGCAAAATGAGAAAAAAATACACAAATTTGTCTTCATATTTTTTGTTTCTCTACAATCTATTCTCTTTTTTTTCATGAAATATTGGACAATTTCAATTTATTGGGTTAAAAACATAAAATGAAACCCACTTAGAAGTTCAGTGCATCTCTAAACAGTTTATCTGAAATCAAACTAGATGCTTTTGAGACAAAAACTGTTGCAGACCACCACTTAGATGACAAATCATTGAATTTGAAATTCTAATCTGAAAATAAATGCACTGGAGTACAAATACCTAAAACCCTGTCTTAAGTACAGTACTTGAGTAAATGTGTTCACTTTTATTATAGTTATATGCATGTTATTGTAGATGCAAAACTATTCCAAATCACCACCTAAAGAAAAACAACACCTTTACCAGACCGACTTTGTGCAGCTGTTTGTTCATCAGATAACCTCAGTGTCCTGTGAAAAACATTACTATGAGAAGAACATTTCCAAAGCAAAGAAAATGACAGATAATACCTACATTGTGTTGAGACTGATTCTGGCCAGTTGGTAGCTGAGGTGCCTCCGAAGAGACGATGTCTGTGTGTCATGGCCAGTAAGGGCAGCATTCACTTGTACTGAACACCATATAATAACCTATATTGCATAACTGCGCCTGTGATCGTGTCTCTGTAAACAGTTGGTGGCTTCATTACACTGAGTCTCTTCAGTCTGATAACATCATGCTGACTGTGTGTTTCCAGAGCCTCCGGAGTGGCTGTCTGAGCCGGAGAGCCAGCTCAGTATGATCGGATCCGATGTGCTCATCAAGTGCTCTGCCAGTGGGACTCCTCAGCCCGCCACTACATGGAGGGTGAACGGCGTACCCCTGCAGGGTCAGTCGACAACAACACTCTGACTTTAAACTCACTTCACTGTGTTAAACTAGTCATGATGACTGGACAGTTTAAAACTTCTTTCCCCTCTTTAAAACAACATATAACATAAGAAAAAAGTGGATAATACTCACAAAAAGTAAAATACTCACAATAAATCTTGAATCAGTTATTTCTTCAGTACGTTCTCTTGGCATTTTCGAAGCAAAACAACACAGAGTGATGATTTTTTGATGCTAAACTCGCTTAACGTTTACGGTCTTTGTGAAAGCGTTAGCAGCTGGGAGCTCGGACCGATCGAGGTTATGTTTCACCACAACAAATATCACGACACAGGAAACGACTGAGGGGACAGAAACACTGAATGTGCCGTATTTTTCCCCCCCCTAAGTTCTTGATATTTTTAAGGTGCTGCGAATGACCTTCATTGACATATTAGCATCTTCAAACATACTTCCGTCCTCAGTTATTTTTCTTTATTTCAAACACTCATCTGCAGCTACAGGCTGTTTTAACTTTACCTTAATATTAATTGGTTAGTGTCACACACAGCAGAGGTAAAGTTTTAATGTTATTTTTGTCATACTCAATAGAAGATGAAGGTGAAATACTGTCGATGATTTAATTCTGTTTACTGGGACGCCACAGTAGTAGCTACATGTTTTTCCATGTTGGCAATCAAGACGAAGATTGTAGAAGGGGTAAAAGCCAAGATGTGTAAGTTATATTCATATTAACTTACTGTTACAGTAGTTCACTGTTACTGTACGTACCATTAAGTAGTCAATAAAACATGGTTTTCAAAAGGTCAGGACATCACTGGTTTGTTGAATTCCGGTTCTGCTGTGAGAAGTCCTGGGGAGAGCAAGGTTATCATTGACCACCACTAGCAATCGATAAAGTCTTTAAAAGTATTTCTTTTGATGTAGAATTATGAAAGGAGAATTATTTTTAGCATGTTTTATTTACCACGGATCTCCAGCGCGGTGTAAAGCCTTTTGTGGCTCCTGAGGAAGCTCAGCAAAGTCTGATAGATTTCTCCAAGTGATGTCACTTGAGTTAGTGCCAGCTGGGGCTGAAGACTACGAGATTGAAAAAGAAAAAAAAGAAGAGCTAGAGGCTCAAGGTTGCCTTAGCTGTGCCTAGCATAACACACTTGAATCTCCTTTTGAACTGTGTGCTTGTACTGCATTGTGGGTGATGTAGGTGATATTTAGCGGGCAGTAATACGCAGCACAACCTTCAGGGAAAGTAGAGATGGACTTTTTCAAGCACTGACAGCAATCACACACTCATGAACGTAATTTAACAAGTCATTAAATTAGTCAAAGCACGCAGAAGAACCATTTGGGTAGCTGTTATATTATAAGGGCAAGATACAAAGTACAGTTCATAATTCAGTGAATGGACAGCAGTGTGTGTCAGGAGGGAGGCAGAGACGTAGTTTAAAGATGACTGGACCACAGGCAGCCAGTAAAGTGGCAATAAGAAGTAGGAAATGCTGCAAAAGTTGAGAACATTTCGGCTGAGTTTGAGCCTTTACTGTTTTAATAGTGACGATGTAAAGCTTTTCACTTGTGTCTTTGGTCTATTACAGAATCCCCAGCGACCAACAGGAAGGCATTTGATGACACCATAGTTTTACATAACGCCAAACCCTCTGACAGTGCAGTCTATCAGTGCGAGGCCTCCAACAGACACGGGACCCTTCTGTCCAACGCAAACATCATGATAATGAGTAAGTGCGACAGCTTTCGTCTCCGCCAAACATCAGTTCCTTTTCGCCACCAGGGTTTCCTCAAGTACAAGAACATACGATCCATGCAAAGTATTTGTTTTACAGTGTTTGTGAGTCGGTGTCAGACTTTGCAGTGAGTCATTGGGAGACTGCTGACTGATGTGTCAAGCTTGAGAGCTGGCGCTGATGCTGGCATATGCCCATAAAGCAGCGAGAGCCCAGGGAACGGGAGCTGTCTACAAGCTGTACTCCTTCATTCAGGCTAGCGGTTCTCCCTGTGGAGCGACAAGCCCTGTTCCCTGCCATTTATATGCTAACACGTTCCCCCCTCAATTCCATACTGATTCCGGTGCCATAAGACAAACATGTGCTGCTTTACAAGTGCAGATAAACAAAAGACAGAATGTCGCTTTCCGTCAGTCTGTGCAAACGCGGGGAGTTTGTTCTCGGTGACACAGGAGTTAATAAAGCTGGACACTCTCTGAATGTGAAGTCCCAGTTGCTGCCTTTGTAAACAATTAGGAGAGACAGACCATTTTAATGGGAGGCTTTGGCTACAACTGATAAGGTGCGCTCGCTCCGCTAACTCATTATTCCATTGTTTTCCGCTTTGATTCCATTTTCATATTTGCACATTTCTGACAGCCTGACAGCTGCATCACTTTTTTAATTAATTAATTTTTTAAACAAAGGAGTCTGCAATTAACGCACAGGTACGGCAACAGTGCTGTCACCTCATTTAACCCACAATTATCTTCCTCATTCCGCTTCTGTTTTATCAGGTTTTAAAACTGCAAACCCGGCGCCGTGCTGCGTTTGACTAGCCACACCTAGTTCTCCTTCATGGTGGAATACACACTGTGCTTTTCTAACAACTCTTAGATTGATGATGAGATGCTTGCCGCTGGTCTTTGCAGATCTGCCCCCCATGATTTTGACCAAGGAGGGGGAGGATTACTCTGCCGTGGAGGGGAAGGGAGTGATGATGCACTGCAAGGTTTTCAGCTCTCCTCCTTCCACAATCTCCTGGTAAGTGCACATTTTCCTCCTGGCTCTGATACACCAGCAGAGAGCAGTAGATCTCAACCAGTCGATGCAGACGGTCCCTTTTCTATACAGCCTGTTTTTGTGTCTGTTTCTCCAAAACAAGCCCAAAGTAGCCCTGTCACTCAATTCCAATGTTCTATTCAGCAACTTTGTTTTTTTTTTTCTTAATTTCTTTAGTGCTCCCCCAGTGTGGTGTTTATTCATTTAGTTTTGTTTATATTTAATTTGACCTGTGGTAACTTTATGCTCGTTTTTTTTTCCTGAATGTTTTCCAGGAGCAAAGACGACTCCTCCGAATCCGTGGAGGGACCCAGGTTCACCGTTCATGACAACGGGTCGCTGGAGATCTACAGCGTAGAGAAAGGCGACAAGGGACAGTACACGTGTTTGGCTAAAAACACAGAGGGATTATCCGCCATCGACGCCATGCTGTATGTGAAAGGTAAACAGTTTAACCAGTAAGAAAGGTTTGCAGTCACTCACAGTCCTTGAAATGTAACTAACACGGCCCTGGCTGTTGAAGATCCCACTAGAATAGTCGTGGCCCCGGAGGACCAGCAGATCTTAATAGGTACCACGGCCCAGCTCTCATGCCTGGCAGAGTACGACGAGTCCTTCAGCAACGACTTTGAGCTCCTGTGGGAAAAAGACGATATGGAGATAAACCTCAACTACACCGAGAATTCAAGGTAGGATCCAGAATTTGGTTTATTTATTTATTTATTTTTTAATGTATTTACAGCATTGCAGCCTTAATCCCAGCCGGAAAGTCGTTTCACTTCCCAGGTTTGTCAATCAATATTGTGTCTCCATGTTTCTGTCAACAGATACTTTGTGGAGGATGGTATTCTTCACTTCGTCAATGCGAGCCACGGAGACCAGGGCGTGTACACATGTGTGGCGAAGACTCCAGTGGACCGTGACACGGCCTCGGCCCTGATCATGGTGTTAGGTGAGCCGACGCACGAGCGCTCTGTTCTGCTCCGGGCCAAAGGATCAGAGACCCCTGCTGCTACATTAATGTGTGGCACATTCATGAAGGGATCAAAATGTCAGGAAGCCAAAAGCAGAGCAAGAAAATGCAGACCATGACTTTATTAGTGCAGCGCGGTGTCTGACAGTCGCCCTTTTGAGATATTGTTGACATCTTCGAGTCTGAAAGAAGCTGTGGCAGCCAATACAGCGATGTAGCTCGTTCCACATCCTCTGACTCTCTGGGTGATTTGATTGAACATTTGTTCCCTTGGCCTTTCCTTGCTGCAGAGATTGATGTGTCTGTGATTTTCCAAAGCCATGCTGTTGTGATGATTTTCAGATGTCCCAGATGCACCTGAGAACTTGGCACTGTCTGAACACAAGAGCAAAAGTGTGAAGCTGAAATGGATCCCCGGGGACGATCACAACAGCTCAACCACAGGTAAACAGGAATATTTGCTCGTGCGTGTGTCAGCGCATACAGTGAATCAGTGCACCTTGCAGTGAATGGGATTAATACGACATTTACATTTTTGGGCATCATTCTGCATGTAAATTGATTTGTTTGGTATCATCTTGTACAATCTGAAATTATTGTCGATTCACTGAAGCATGAATTATGATTAGTCTCCCTGAGGAATCTACAAGCCTAGAGCAGGGTTTGAGGAGCTTTCTGCACAGCTAGCGGTTAGATAAGTGATCCTTTGGCAGGAACCACAGCGGTGAGGGGCTGCTCTGATTGTCTTTATACCTGTCATCAGAGTTTATTATCGAGTACGAGGAAAGCAAGTGGGAGCCAGGCAACTGGAAAGAGCTGCTCCGAGTACCGGGCAACCACAACTCTGCCGTCCTCAAACTCCACGGCCACATCGACTATCGCTTCCGCGTGTCTGCTGTGAACGCTGTAGGGATGGGTCCTCCCAGCCAGCCAACAGAGAGATACAAAACTCCCCCGGCAGGTGTGAGGTCTTCTCCTTTCATTGTTTATTATACTTTTTGATAAGGTCCTCCAGGCTACTTGAGCTGCCAACACTGCTGCTCTGTGAACTTTAAAACACTCAGACGTGCTACATAATTGATTCCACCCTTGTTGAAAATCTGCTCTCTTGTGTGCCTATTTCACTGGAGATTTCTCGCGCTAACAATGCAGACAAAATCCATATTCCTTTTTTTTTTTTTTTCTACAGCCCCTGACAAGAACCCTGAAAATATCAAAATCGAAGGTCATTTGCCACATGAAATGGATATCAACTGGGAGGTAAGAAATAGAGTTTGGTCTTTTGTTATCCTCTTGCTGCAATGTCGCCTACCTTTACATAGTGAAGGATTCGCTTCCACTCCAGTTTTTGGCAGTCAAAGAATTTCTCTAAGAGAACAGATATGTAGTTTCATCAATGTTTCAGAGACAATTACCAATAGGAATTTAAGAAACAGAAATGACCCACTTGTAATATTTCATTTTGCAGTTCAGATCTTTAGAAAAGCCATTTTCTGGGATCATGAATGAGTTTCCATTGAAAGATGTTCCTTTTCTTTGATTAGAAAGAGAAAGGAAGGCTATGAAAAGGAAAATTTTCTTTTAGTGCTCACGGTAATGTATTCGGCTTTATTGTAGAAAGATGAATCTCTCCTTCACTTATTATCTGGTTGCCCTGTCATGGCAACGTAGCTCCTGAATCCTGGATTCATGAGCTCTCCCACTGTTAATGATTTGCTTTTGTGGATAATGGTATCTCATTCTATTTCTCACGGTCTGACTTCTGTGAGGAGATGAATCTTTTCATCTGCAATGTCTTAGCAAGCCCTGTATCAAAGAAAAGCCTCACTAGACCAGGTCAATTGTTCCATTGTTTTCTTAGATAGCGGGATAAAAAATCTGCCAGTGTTCCAAGCACAGTTCACTGGGCTAGCTTGTCATTTTAATCCCACGGTGGCAGTGACATTGAGCAGGGAAATACAAGAAACATCTTATGCAACTGTGAAAGCCTCAATGAAACCTTTCACGTCATTGTTCTTTTTTTTTACTTTTGCTTTCTTTCCCTTTTATTATTCAGCCCCTGTTACCCATTGAGCACAATGGTCCCGGCCTGGAGTATAAGGTGAGTTACAGACGGCAGGATGTGGAAGAGGACTGGAAGGAACACACAGTGAAGAGGCACTCGTATGTGGTCAGGAACACTCCCACCTTTGTGCCCTACGAAATCAAGATCCAAGCCAAGAACCATCAGGGCTGGGGCCCCGAGCCCAGGATAGTGACCGGCTACTCAGGAGAGGACTGTGAGTAATGATGTTTGGTGATCTGACATTGTTTTATTTAAAGCAGCACTTGTGCATTAGTAATAGATCATATGGCTATGCATTATGGGTAAGGGGTCATTTCTACTGGAACCCTCACAATAAAAACCTCACCCAGTTTTGCAATCGCCCTCATCTCTGTCTTATAGCATTACTTTTGGTTGTGGCCTCCTCAGCTTTGCTTTTGTCACTGTAAGAGCTTTGATAAATACCACACCTACCCAGCACTACAACATGTTTTTAACATCATAATGAAAATGTTCCATATAAAAGACACACAACAACGTCATGTGTAGTGTTGTTTTAGCCCCAAATGATTAAAATATTAGTCAATGTTGCTGTACATTCAGACGTGTAGTTAAAAGATGCTAGTAAGCCCAAAACAGACATTTATTTTTCTTTCCTTGTTGCCGTTTTCAGTAAAAGGACAATGCAGATCACTCTAGCGGATTAAACTGATCATACTGTCTGCAGTTTACTGACATAAACTTGCAAATAAAGGTTCCCAAACTTTCCTCTCGCCTTTTGCTGCCATTTGGAGCTGCCAGAGTGCAATTAGCTGCTGTAGCTGTTAGATTTTAAAGGGAAAGCTGTGGTTTAATTCAATTCATTTAAGTTATTCAGTCTCCAATTCTTGTATTTTTCTAGCTGCAGTGTTGAAGTTGGTTTGTGGAGAAACTTATTTATAATGCTCACTGAAATGTTTTGGTTTAACTTTACAGAAGTTTACTGTATTTCCCTTGTTTAGCTTTCTTCTGGACTTGTCCCCAGGAGGTCACCTCAGGTCATGGTACTTTCTGACTCTTGTGTCCTCACCCAAATATGGTGCCAGGAGATGCAGTATTTGTCCCCGTTAGCACAATAGTTTTACCATTGTACATTAGTTTTTGTGACGATGGGTAGAGCCCTTCCCTCGTAGGTCCAGTAAATAGTTGATCGCTGACTTGAATAGTGTGTTTTTGTAATTTTGTCTCGCTTTGGCCAATCACTTCTGTTAAGTTGTTTTCAGAGAAGGGTGCAACGAATAATCGACATAGTCAACTAAAATCGATGACCAGATTAGGTGCCATCGATTAGTTGGCGATTTTGTGTAAGCGTTAATTTACGGCACATAACGTGTCACAGTCTGGCGGACATTTGCTGTGGAGCAGGTTCACCGCCAATCTCAGCACAGGAAAACTGAAGGAACCCTGGATGAACCAAAAATAACAACAACCTCTGTCTTTAATCTTAACATAGAAAAAGCTCGGAAGTTGAACTATTGTTGCAGCAATTCACATAAATCACAAAAGACACTTAAAAGTGCACAACAAGCATCTTTATCGCCTTTATTGTTGGTTAGCATACGTCTAAAACAACTTTTAAACTAAATAAGAGCCAGTTCATCTTCGTGCAGTCCATAATCCATACAGTTGATTATTTGTTTCGATTCACTAATCAACTATCAAATAGGAGTGAGTTGCAGCCCTGTTTAATGGCTCACTGCTTCCCTGAACTTACTTGCAGCTTACGGTGGATTGTAATGTGTGTTTGCCTTTGCAGTTCCCTCTGCCGCACCTGATGATGTAGCCGTGGAGGTGATGAACAGCTCAGTGGTCAAGGTTAGCTGGACACGAGTGCACAAGGACAAGTTGCATGGACATCTGGGAGGCTACAGGGTAATACCTCAAAAACAGACCTTTGCTTTTAGACACAGTTTAAAAGGAATGGCCCCGACCTTGCTCTCAACGTTTGCTTCTCTCACCCTATTCTGTCTCCTATGTCGGCCAGTTCAATGTCTTCTTACTCCCGCCATCAGAAGAAACAACACAATAACTCCGTCAGCGTTCTCCCCGCTGTATACATATGTATGACGCACGAGCTTGATGTCTGGAAGCCGCCGCTGAGGGTGCTTCTGTGTCTCTTTCTAGATAAACTGGTGGCGTCTGCGCAGTCTAGTGGCCTCAAAGAAAAGCCACGGAGACAAACACACGCTGACGTTCCCCGGGGATCGCAGCCACGCCATGGTGCCCGGACTAACGCCCTTCTCCGAGTACAGCCTCATCGTCATGACCTTCAACGGGAGAGGCAACAGCCCGGGCAGCCATCCCGTCAACTTCAAAACCCCAGAGGGAGGTAGGATTGTGGAAAAACAGCATGGAGTGTATTGATTCACAACTACTGAAGAGAAAATCTAATAATAGCCAAGGAAACTGGGTTGCAGAATTCGACAGTTTACTGTGTGTATTACCTTCTTCGCACCTACAGTTCCGGAGAAAAATCCTGTTTTCAGGGTCACAGATGTACAGAGGCACACCGTCGCTCTGGTCTGGGACCCGCCGATGGAACCTAATGGGATTCTCACGGGGTATCTTCTGGAGTACCAGCTCAGTACGTATCATTCTTATCCTTCCACCAAATCAGCGCTGATATAACAGTGAACCCTCTGTATTGCTACAAAGGGGGTAATGTTTTATCTAATTTTGTTTAATAGTGTTTACATCCTCTGTTTCTTTACAGCTTGCACCCCCTAAAAAACTACCGAAACTGAGTGTATAGAAAAGCACACAGTCCATTCATTCCAATTTGGAGCCAGTGAGTGCATATAAGAGGCTCTTCTTCTGTTGCACTGTAGTGGTACACACAAGTATGTCCAGTACTCCAGAGTGTCATGGAAAAGAAAGAAGGTGTATCTTTGGCTCACTGGTGATTGTCTAACCCGTGATCCTCAGCAAGGAAAGAAAAATCATTGTGCTGCTCTAATAAGGCCAGGGTCAGAGTGTGTGTATAGGAAACATGTCAGGGTGATGTCTGCCGGCCCGCGTGTCACGATCACGGCTCGGCTAGCGCTGACCAAGGCCACGGTGTCACAGTCTGTTAAGGTCCGGCTTTACTGACCTCATCCTGTCTGCAGGGGACATCTTCAGCATAGCTCAGTCCCAGGGGATGTCATCACCGAACACATCCCACGTGGGCGCACACTTTGATGTCCTTAAATAAAAGTCATAACGGAGCTAATGACTAACTTCCAACAACGTCTTAGTGCCGCATTTGCCGGCTAATTGAGTTTGATTTGGCGGCTGCACAAGAGGGCCAAGCGTCATACAGTATTTCAAGAGAGGACGTTTTCATTGTGCCACAGCAATAAAGCTGATAGACGCTTTGAAGTGTGACTTTTTTTGAAGTCCCCTTGGAGGAAGTCATGTGCGAAATGTTGAGGATAATGCAGCCAGCTGTCAGCGTATCATCAGTGACACAAGTGGCATCTAAAGCTACAGCGCAGCTGTTTGAGGTCTACGCCCATCTCCACAGCAGCCTTTAATGACTTCACATCTCGCGGGTTTCACAGAAACTCCTGTTGTAACATGTTGTTTAACACACTGAGCACGAAGGATTACCTGGGGTTTAAACAGCTAAACTAACTGCTTTGAAACAACACTGTTTCTGTGTAGAACCCTGTAATAATTGGATCAAGTTGTCACCAAAGAAGATCAGTGGCTTCATCGGTACACTCAATAATAGGGAAACAGAACAGTAGATATGGACTTCATTATGGTTTGTCCTCCACCAGTACACTTTGTAGAGGTGATAATATTGGATCACACATACCAACAGAAGTTTTTGTCAGTATACTTTTCTGAATACTGAATGCAAAGGCTGAATATATCCTCACCACTGAGTGGGTGGCACAGTCACACTGCCTTAAAGAGCTCTTAACCCGGGGCACAGTGTGCTGGTACAGACTAAACAACAAGTCTGCCTGCCTCTAAGGGAGCTTGACAAGACAAAGATAAGTGTGACCCAAAAGTAAAGATGAGGCCTCGCACTTCATCTGTTCTATCATTTAGAAACATTGTCCTTCTTGTTCAGAGCAGTTTACCGCTATATACCTGAAACACATGTTGCATGACACTTGTGGAGTAGCTACATTTATTCAGTTTAGCATGAAACTCGGATGAATCCATAATTTCTTCCCTTTCTTTGACCGTTCTACAGACGTTTCCACTGCACTGAAATAATATATTGGCACAAGTGGGAGTTATAAATGACCTTGGCTTCAATTCATTCTGTTTTTCCTCCCAATTGAGCTAAACTCGCGCTCGCTGTCGGGTCATACTCGGATTTCAACGCTGGAGAATCTTGGTCTGTTTCACAATGCACAAGGCCAATCATGTCTGGCCCACTAGGCTGAAGAATATTTGGAGATATTGTTGTCTGTAGTCAGTGGAAGAGCCAGAGTCTGCAGCCTTCAGCCAGTGCACTCTATAAGATCATGTGCGCCAGCTGTCAGGCCCGAGTGTCTCCAGAAAAAAAAGTGAGAAAGTAATTCCTCCACAGGGTAGAAACTTGATGCTCGTGGCCTCTTCTCTGTAACCAGCCTGACATTCATAATGCACCAAAAAATTTAGTGTTTTTTGTCCCTCGAAACAAAAGAAAAGGAGAAAAAAAAAATCAGAACTTCTGATATCAGTGGGTGGTGTCCAGGCAAAAAGAGAAGCAGACCAATACATTCTTGTCATTGTCCCTGTTGCCTCCTACCAGAGAGACGTAGCACCTCTTTCACAGCAAAGGTCACCTCAACACCTGCTGTGTTTGTTTTTATTACAAAGAACATAAATGCCACCTCCCTACCTACTGGGCTGCTTTACGTAGTGAAAAATGAGATCCCATCACAATGTGGACAGAGTGCAGACACCAAGAACAAAAATAAACTCCGGCTGAAAATATGCAGGACGTAATTAGCTTGTTTGTTAATAGCATTTTAAAGGGGGGGTATTAAGCCAAAAACAAGCAAATTACTCGTTGTCTTTTCTAAAGCCCAAGAAGGGAATGTGCAAGCCAAAATGACAAGTGACATTTTGCTTTCTTTGGCATTGCTGAAATGTCTCCTGATTGTCAGTTGGAAGTATTTGAAAGGCCGGCGGCTGGAGAATTCTTTCCCCCCCGAACGAGACGCAGTCAAACATTCCAATGTGTGGGGAAGTACAGGGAGTGATTTTGTGAATAATTCAACTATAGAATAGGTGTTTATATCTTCCTAAAATGATGAAAACCTTGTTGAGTTTTCACGTCGAGTTCTATCATTATATCAGAAAGATGAGGCAACCGACGACACACACACACTGTCACTCACACACACAAACTTTATTCAGTGTTGTTGGACAATACGCAGCATCAAGAAGCATAAAGACAAAGATAGACAGCTGCACCCTCATCACTCACAAATCATATTTTATGTATGTTTTTATTGTCTTTTCTTTTTTTGAAAAAGCATGAATAAATAAATCCAGTCGAGCTGATGGCTGGTACTTTTTTGGAGACGGCGGGGAAAAAATAAAAAACGTACAGTAAAAGTACAAGAGACGCAGGCTGTAAAATAAAGCCTTCACTTGTCTTTTTAACTAGAATACTGAACTAGTTAAAGGATGTCATCTAGGTTTCCTGGAGGTGATGGTACAGGAGCTTTAGGGAATGGAAATGACAATGTGCAATGTCCACACTTTTTATAATCTAGTGAACCAATACATTCTGTTTGGGTTAAATTTGGCCCGTTTTGACATTTAATAGCAGTAAAAATACCCTGAACGTCATTCTTTTAGCCTGTAATTTGAGGACTTTTCCTAAAGGGACCCAAAATACACAAAAATAGCAATATTTTAAAGTTTTATACTTTGTACAGGTGCGACAAATGTTTGTACACTGAGGCTTTTTCAGGTCAAATGTTGACCCATATCCACTGAGAGACATTTTAAATCTACCAGTGTGGGTCAAATCAAGGAAAATAGGAGGTTTAGGGAATCTTGAAACTGTACAGGCCATGTTTGTGTGTATTTTTTATTTACATTTATTAATGTGACGTAGGATATTTAGACATTCTAAATAGATCTGTAGTTTAAAATTTGGTATACACCCTTACTCTTTGGTATAGACCAGGGGTGTCGAACTCCGGTCCTCGAGGGCCACAGTCCTGCATGTTTTAGATGTTTCCCTTCTTCCAACACACCTGATTCAAATGATCAGCTCATCAGAAGCCTGATAACGATCCTGATCATTTGAATCAGGTGTGTTAGAAGAGGGGAAACATGTAAAACATGCAGGATTGCGGCCCTCGAGGACCGGAGTTCGACACCCCTGGTATAGACTGTTTATTCTTTATTTCTATATCTTTCTATATATATTTTTTCTGCATATCCTCATTTGTATATTCTATGTTTGCACTATTCTTTTTTATATGTGTATTTTTATACGTATGTTTGCACTATTTCTTACGTGTACATTTTTCTTTCTAGTATGTGTGTATCTCTGTGTGTGCTGCTGCTGACAACACTGTGAATTTCTCCACTGTGAGATAAATAAAGGCATATCTTATCTTATCTTATCTTATCTTATCTTATCTTATCTTATCTTACTATAAGGGAATTCTTGACTTGAATTCTTCACAGTATGATGAACAAAACTGGGACAAAACTGACCCAGGCCATACTGTGAAGGCATAAAATATGAACAGTGGGGTTAAGAGGTATGAATTTAGGAAAGGAATCAAAGAATTTAAGCTTTGGTAGCACAGTGTTGACTACACATGTTGTGTTTCCTGTTTTTTAAGTAATACCTCTGTAGTCCATCATCTACTGCAGCCACTTGGTGTGCTTAATACAAAAATCATTACACAGTAAATAACATTTTTTCTACTATTTTTACATCCAGTCAACGACACAGAAGAAGTGGGGCCGCTGCAGACCGTAGACATCAGCAATCCAGACACCACCAAGTGGATCCTGCGCGATCTGGAACCTGTGAGCAAATACAAGTTCTACCTGCGCTCCTGCACCACCGTGGGCTGCGGGCCCGTTGTCAGCGAGGAGTGCACCACCACCCTGGAAACAAGTGAGTGATGGAAGGTCCAGAAGGACAGTTGACGAGGCGCTGTGTGTCTGGATAAGCTTTGTGGATGTGTGTGGATGGGCGACGATGAGCACGCAGGCTGAATAGAGGCTAAGCAAAGCAGGTGACAAAAGTCATTTCACTATTTCAAAACGGCACCGAACTCGCGCAATGTGATATATGCCTGAGCAACCAAGCTTTTCATATCTCCATGTAAGTAATTTTTGTGGATAAACAATTTCGTACGGCTGTAGTGAAGGTTTTCATTTGTCACTGTCATGAGAGAGCAAGTGCTTATTGATTGGACGGAGAGCGCGAGCTATGAAACAATCAACCAGGAGAAAAAAAAAATTGCTTTGAGCAGGAGGGAAACTGAAGGTTTTGATACTGAATTGCGTAATCATGAAAGAGCCGGTCCGCAAGTAATCATAATGAGCCGGCTCGTAGCACGTAATCTTTTATTTTCAATTACATATCATTTGTCGAGCGCCGCGCGCCATACTTCAGCTGGCTCTAAAAACTCAAGCCGAGCCTCTGTGATTGCGGGCGTTAACGATTGGACGGGAAATGAAACAGGAAACTGCTTCACCTGAGCGTCAGCGAAGGAACAGCCACAGATACCGTCGGCATAAATAACTGGATCTTAATACAAACGCACCCCCGAAGGGATTTTGTATATTCAAGTGGCTTTATGTAAAAAAAAAAAAAAAAGTTAGCGTGGAAAACACACTGCAGGTGCTGAATATGCAAGCGATTACTTAGTGTTTACTGGAAGAATCCTTACAATCACAGAAAGAAACTTAATTGGCTCTTAGGGGTTGGGTATTTGCATGCTGAAAAGCCAGGAGAAAAAAATGATTACAGGGAGAATGACTCATTTCTTATGTATTGAATTGCAGTTTTGTAGAGCTATTACACGCGTGTGTGGGGGGAAGAGACTCAAGATTTGAGCACGAAAGCAATTTGTGGTAACTGTGCTGTCGCCGTGTGTGTACTGTATGTTACTGTTGTTTTTTCTTAATGGTTTATTTTCTGCCTGCTTTCACATATGCCACTAAAAAAAAAAAAAAAAGTGCATCGCTTTCAGAATTTGCTCTGATCACACAGTGGGTGTTATAAGCATGTCTGTGAATGTGTACGTCTGCTTAGCCATGCAATTCTTGTCCTTTCTGTCTTTTTTTTTTCTCCTTTCTGTCTTTTTTTATTTCCCGCAGCTTCCGTTTCGGCTTCCACTGTCGGTCTCAGTATGTAGATCTGTGTTTACGCAGAAGCTGTGGCATGTCATACCTGCACACACACACATACCACGATAATGACACACATTTTTTTTTTTTTTATAATTATATTTTTAGTTTGTGTTGGTATGACGTGCTCCACAGCCACACGCTTTGTTTTAGATAGCGGTTGCATGCTTAGATGTAGAAACGCAGCAGGGCATGTGTGGATGCTGTAGGCGTGATTAAACGATCAGGATCTGAGTCTCGGAACAGTCGGACACTTTTTATTTGTCCTGTACAGAATTTAACGGCCCCCTAAACACTCGGCTCCTCTGCACGTAATTGACCTTGTCTGCTGTTTGCCCTTGCCATCAGCAGAGAGCACTCTGATGCCTCCTTTCATTAGAAAAATGTCAACTTCTGCTTAGATAAAGTTTGTGTCTTCCTCTCTAATAGCAATGGTAATGAGTAACCTAATTATAAATTCATATTAATCTTGGCTCATTAGTGACTGTAAACGAATATTGACTTTTATCCTAGCAACGGCAGACTCTGTGCAACACGTCTAACTCAAGCTGATGATGCTTAAAGAGCCAGGAAGAGCGTCAGACACGCCACACCTACCTTTCCCATCCTTTTATAAAAATATTTCAAGTCAAATTAAAAGCACCTCACATTGTGCGTTGAAGTCGTAGATCGTGTTCCACCGTAGTCACTAATTTTAGAGTTTAGCAGGAAATAGCATGTGTGCTAACAGTAGAACCTAGCCTCCCCCTCCCCCCCTTGAGCTCAAATTGATAACCAACCGGGTCTGTCTTTCTTTTCAGGCAAGTCAGCTTCCCCCTCACCTCCAAGCACTCCAAAGTCCCCAGTGACCAAACCCACTCGTTCCACCATAGGTAGAGCTGCAGCACATTCTGACACAACAAGCATCACGCCACAGAGACAAGCCGACGCTGCGGAATAACACGCAGCAGCCATGTTTTTTTTTGTGTTTTGATACCCCGCTCGCTTAGCTGTCGGCTCAAAGTAGATAAATAACACGAAAAACCCAAAATACTCCTGCAGGTAGTTTGCTTGGAGAGTTTGTATTGTTTCCAGTAGCAAAGAGGTGGAATGTAACAGCGGTGTTTTACTGCTAGCTGGGTTTAATTTCTCTGCCGTACCACAGGGAAATCTAGGATGCTAGATCTATATCCCCATCCGACAGTGTGGCTGTAGAGTGCAGTCACTTGCGCAGGACAAATATGTCTAATTGTAAGTGATTGATTTGTTGGGCCCCGGTCCCCCTTGCAAACGGCGTCGTATTGACCCAACAGTCACCTGACATTACCATGTAATCTTCAAGTGGGTAAACAGCAACGCGGCTCTGGGACGAGAAGGGGCAGCATCTGAGCTGAGAGAAAACAGCGAGCAGATATATCCTCCCGGGCCACGTGGGGAGGTGTGAGCTCATACCGGGAGGGTGATATTTACAGGACACCGAGATAAGTGGATAAGTGGAGGCTCTTGAAAGCCCCAATATCAGAATATTTTCTGGCCTCTTCTTATGAAAAAAAAAAAAAAAGCCTCCTGACTTTGAAGGGGCGTCTTCCAGGGCATCAGCTCCCCGCTGGGCGAGCAGCTGCTTTCTGCAGCATTTAATAGCAAGCTGAGGAGCGCGGTGACAAAGCACGGCAGCCAGCCTTGGGATATTTTTAACTCACGAGCCTATGTCAGTCGAAGTCATCGCGCACTTCCAATGTTCTGAAATTACCATAGTTGCAGACTAATCCATCAACATTAGTCGGCGAGTGTCATTTGCAGTGGTGAGGATGGACAGCGCAGACGCAGGTGTCCTTGTGAACTGAATTATCACCTGAGCAAATAATGCACCTGAGCTGGAGCGCCAGCAGAAGATTTGCATGTTTGTCATGGCAAAATGAAGTGGATTGCACTTTGCTGACGAGCTTAGACAGCTGCTATCAAAGCACACAATTCCCATACTAATGATGCGAATCACCAAGAAAATTTGTGATTTGTTTTTTTATCCTCTGTTTGAGTATCAGAGGGAAAGATCCCCTTGATGTGTAGGTAGATGAAGTTTTAAGCTAATAAACTGTGCTACTGCTCTCAACTCAAATGATTGACTAATAATTTGATAACACTGATTAAAGATAGAAGACAGAGTATAAGCAAGGCCCTAATTACCTCTGTGTTGTTTCTGGGAATTCAACTATATATTGTTGGCTCACTGCTGAAATAATGATCTGATTGCTTGAGTTTAAACGGACAGAAGCAATGCTGATAATAATCATTTAACGTTGTCATTGGTCCGTCTTCTCACATGCGAAGATTTGTTGCTTTGCTGCGTTTGATCACGTTCGGCTGTTAGTTGGACAAATTGATGAATCACAACGGGAACTGCGGCTGCACTAAACCTCATTAAAGTAGACGGTTTGTCAGAAATTTCCAGAGTGGCAATGTGGAGACGACATCTCGATCGGGGAGAAGAAGTGAATAAAGCAGCAAAACGAATAAATAAAATGTGAAAGAAATCATAATGTTGTCAGATATTTTCTAGCTTGTAAAAAACACACCTTATTACCGTGTGCTAGTCATGCAACAGACGATTTCTGAAGAAGCGTAGGCGTGCGAAATGTCCATCATCCAAAGGTCTTTGATGTTAAATCTCCCTTAAGGTCCTAGTAGATGTTCATTTAGCTTCGCAGGCTCCACCTGTGGTTCCATTTCCATATCCACATCACTCTTGTCATGTGTGCTGTTGTGAGAGTGACCCGCCGTCCCCTTCTGTCAGACGTAATTGATGCCTCCTTACAATAGCGTTAGGAAAGAGCGCCCTCGCCTCTTCCGCAGAAAGCGACGAGCGGCATCCTTCATCACATAATGACAACACTCCTAAACACTCCACCACGGCTTTCATCTGCTTTGTCCTTTACTAACCCCTGTTTGACTTTTCTCTTCTTTTCCCTCCTCCCCGCCCCGTTTTTTTTCTTTTCCCCCCCTCCTCCATCAGTTCCGGCCCTGTTGAACGTTAGCTCGGCCGTTAGCGACAGCTTTGCAAACATCAGCTGGATATCTGGAGGAGAGCACACACAGTTTTACATTGCATACATGAGCCAGCGTAAGCTACACGTCTATCCGTTGGTGGTAGAGAGTATAGCGAGTGAAACATCTGTAGGAGTAGTTTTGTGTTTTCATGCCATATTCATGATCATTCACCCCCATCCCTCCCCACTTCTGCACAGGTGAGGGTCACTGGAAGATATCAGAGGCCTTAAACACCTCTAAGACCTTCCACGTCATTGACGGACTCGAACCCGAGACCGAGTACACTGTGCGCCTTATCCCTAACAGCTGGGTTGATAATTCTAGTATATTTGAAGACGTTATCACCACCGCGTCTACAGGTGAGAAGGGAAACTAAAGCAAACTAAAAAAAAAGGGAAAAAAAGTAATTGTAAGTAAAACTAATTGACCTCCCGCTGAAAAAAAGTAGCGGCGCACCCGGGCGCGTCCTTGAGCAGTGACTCAAGCCGCGGCGTGTGGTCCTTCGCGGTGTCACCGGGATTTAATTTGGCTCCACTAAGAGGAATTACATTTGTACAGCGTTCCTTACTTGATTAATTAGACAAGCAGGATTAGCTGTTTAATATTAATATTGGACCGTTTCCATCAGCGGCGTCGCCCCCCCTCCCTCCTGCCACCTTCCTGCCTTTTGCATCAGATAGGCTTTGTCGATGTAAACATTCAATCAAGTGTCCCGATGAAAAGGCCAAGGCGAGTCAAAGTCACCGGGCATTGTTCTCCCGCAGGTCTGGCCAGCATCCACGGAGGAATATCAACCCAGGGCTGGTTTATCGGCCTGATGTGCGCCATCGCTCTCCTCACTCTCATTGTGTTGATCGCCTGCTTTGTCAACAGAAATAAAGGAGGGAAGTATTCCGGTAGGTGCTCACTTACAAGCACACACACACACACACATCTCACCTTGTTTGAATACTAATTGCCTCTCGGAGCATCATTATAGTTCCATTTTGCCGTTTGTTGCCATGAAAGAAACGATCAATCCTCTCCAGACGCCACCAAAGGAACACATACCATTCTTCTCTTTCTCGCTCCCACAAAAAAAATTATTTTAATGCAAATGTATACATAAAATAGGTGATAGGAAAATGAGCATTTCTACTCCACCATTTGAATTTTTTGCATTATTTAGTAGAGGCAGCTTTTTTTTTTTTTTTTTAACAATCTAAACAAATTGCAGCCCACAGCGAGACAAAATGCAAATGCTGCACACGAGGTGACTGCGCAGGGGGAATGATGACATAAGCTCCGTGGTATCTCAATGTTATTCCTGCTATTGGGGACGTGAGAGTCCTTATCGGGCTTTATTATTCACGGCTAATGGCCATCAGGTTGTCGTCTGGGCAGCGATCGCTTCACTTGTCAGCAGAAAAAAAAAAAAAGAGCGAGACGCAGCTCTGTCCTTTGTTTCCTCATTAAGTTCTCATTATCGCCTCTAGTTCCAACAACCTTTTCTTTCATTCGCCTGAGCCCTTCTTTTTTTGTTCCGCCACATATAGGACTATGCATTTACTTCCCCCTCCCTCCCGCCATGTTTAACATTTTTATTATGAACATTTGAATTTAGGTACAAGACAAGAGGTTTGTTTGTACACTGGTTTCGCAATCTTTTCCGAGGCTTGCATTGAAGTTTCGTTCGTTGAGTAAGTGAAGGGAACGCGGGACTGTCGCTCTTCAGACGGCGATAACAGTCAGGGGACGCAGTGATCTTCACTGGCAGCCATCTCTTGAGGAAATCACTAATATCTTCTCTTCGTTTTGCGAGCAGTGAAAGAAAAAGAAGACCTTCACCCAGACGTGGAGTCCCAGGGCATGAATGACGACACATTTTGCGAATACAGGTAAGCGTCACCCTCAAAGCGCTCTTTCACCACCTCAGTGCAATTCACGCGCAACAGCGTCTGAAATCCTCCTCTGCTAGCCGTCTTTTTTTTTCCATCTTCTTCCTCTCAGTAATTCTCTTTGCATTTCTCCCCTCGTCTGAAAAGACAACCCGGCGTGCACGAGGCTCACGCTTCTTCCGCTGAAGACGTTTGACGGACTAAGTAACCGGAAAGTATGTGAGAAACAGCAGCAGCACCATCAGGCTGTTTACACATGAGAGTAGAAGTGTTTTTTTTTTTTAATAGAAGGTCGTGATCGTAGAAACGGTGTTTGTGTTTTTTGTGTTTGGTGAAAAAAAAGACATCCTAAAGGGAGCCGCAGGGCCCATCAGATGTTGTCATTTTCTGTCCGGATGGTGCTAAAGCGCAGGCCGGCCAGCCAGCCAGCGCGCAGCAGGAGGCTAAAACCAATCAGTGTAATTGAAAGCAGCTCATCTCCAGGGCAGTAATATCTGGGCACGTTTCATTAATCCTTTAGTGGTCCAATTCATAACAGTCTACCGCAGTATGAGCCCCCGTGTAATTCTCCAATCAGTCGGATCTGCGCAGCACAACAAATGCTGATGTGATGAAGTCGAATGCGGCTCAGTGTGACAGCATTTATACTTCGTCTCGTTCACCTCAGGAGCCAGTTTGCCCCAGCTTTTAGTAAATATGTCACAAAGTTTCTACTAACTACTAC